TTCCCTTACAGCTTTTCAATTTGCTTTCCAAACATTTCTTTGTTGCCGTTGGCTGGGGTGCACTTAAAAGAAGCACATCGTTAACCACAAAGAATGCTGACTGTTTTCTGTGATTTCAAATCAGTTCCAAGCACTTCCTCAGCAAGCAGCCCAGCAGCAATTACCCTGCTGCTGAAGACTTACTTCTCATCACAGAAAGACTTCAGTTTAAGAGACAGCCAACAAGCAAGACTGTAACAAATGATGACACATGTTTCGGCCTCCATTCACTAGTGATTTACACCCCCAAAGGAAGAGTGAATCAATTTTTGTGCAAATTCAACAGCACATCCGACAATGCTGCCCTCTTCTCTAACTCACACAAACTGGGCATTCATCAACCCGGTTCACTTGACTCAAATGAGGACTCACAGTCGCTAAGTGGCTCGGGTGGGGGTGGGATTACTCTGAGTCAAAAAGGGACAAAGTACAAGGAAAGGACACGAATCCATCAGAGAAGTGAACGTTGAGTTAATTCGTTGAGACAAAATAGTGAGGTTTTCAAAAGCCAATACGAAAGGAAAGACTGCTTCCCACTCCCACCCCTGGCAAGTCTGTGAAAGACAGTGTAGAAACTGAGCTCAACAACATCCTGGGGGGGACGTTTCCCCAGGTGTAAGCTACTCCAGAACAATTCCTCTGGTAGAGTACACTGAGACAGGCTTCACTTCTCAACCACATTTCTCGTTCCCTTCTCATTCTAATCATACTTGGTTATACATCATTTGAGGAAATAACTCCAGACAAGGTTAGAGGGTTACACAATGGGCAGGGAAAATTCACATAGTGCCTCCTCTCTGGGTATAGGAAGCCTACCGCCTTGAGGTAAGAAACTCAAAATCTGATTTTTCACTCCTACAAGCAAATGTCACACTGCCCTCTGGAGGTAGTCTCACTGGGTGATTGGCAACCATGATTGTGGAAGTTCAAGTCTCTTGGTGGGGTGGGATGGAGGGAATAGGAAATAGGAAGACAATGGAGAAATTATCAACTGTTCACTAACTTCTTAAGAATGGTGTGTATGTGAGAGAGAGAAAGAGAAAGAGGGGGAGAGAGAGAGAAAGAGAGGAAAAAGAAAGGTGAATGAGTAAACATTGCCTCTGCATCTCAGCAGTGTCAAGAGAGCGGATGCAGGTAGACAGGTACTCAAAAGTTCAAAAGTAGTGTTAGGAAGGAGACGGTAAGTCAGTAAGGATGGGTGTGATAGAATTTTGCAAAGATGGCCACATTAATATTCCCATGGGATCTCCTCACAATGCGATGCTGAGGTGGAGTCTGTGGTCCCTCTTGAATCCAGTAGGACTGTGACTATAGCAGAAGGCACACTATATGACTCAAAGGCTAACTTGTAAAAGGCCATATAGTTTCCATTGGGGCTTCTCTGGACATTCACTCTTGGTGAAGAATCCCAGCAGCTACACGGAGAGGCCATGTTCCCACCATAGTACTAGCTAAAGTCTCAGCCAATAGCCAACATTAACTGCCAGTCAGGTAAACGAGTGAGAGGGACTTCAGATGATTCCAATTACCCACCTTGGAGTTGACACCAAGTGGAGCAGAGAAGATCTGTCCCCACTAAGCCTTGCTCAAATTGCAGATTTATGAGCAAAAAGTGCTGTCCTTAGATTAAGCCACTATATTTTGGGGTAGTTTGTTATACAACAATAGATAACCAAAACAATGGGCAACGTCCCCTCTGACACAGTACAAAATGTTCTTGGCACAAAATAAACCTGGCCTGAAAAGAAATGGGACCCATCTCTCTGCCTTTCATGGATTCTCACAATTGGACTTGATTCTTTATTAACATTAGTTTTTTCCCTCTTGGTCCCAGATTAAGTTATCCATGGGATCTATCTCAACTGAAACCATGTGTGTATATGTGCACGACATGGTGCATTGTACAAATTTGAATTGTGGCCAGTATTTAGCAAGCAAAAGATTTTACCTAAACACACACAATCTAAATTTCGATCTTGTCTTAAAAGAAAGAAAAAAAGGAAAGAAAGAAAGAAAGAAAGAAAGAAAGAAAGAAAGAAAGAAAGAAAGAAAGAAAGAAAGAAAGAAAGAAAGGAAGGAGAAAGAAGAAGAAACAGAAAATCTGACAATACTTGATTTGCATTCCTACAGAATAGTAATTCACTCACAAAAACTCTGGTTTCCTCAGTCCCCTCTATTCTGTGTTGCATCACATCCTGCTGGTTCCACTGGAGCACCATCACTCTCTGACATCTGCTGCCTGACCTCTCAAGGCATTTGGATTTGTAACATTTATTTAGCCAACAATTCTCTACCTGGTTGATTGGGACTTATTCTTACCTAGTTATCCAAGAGTTAGCATCCTACTGAAAATAAGAGTTTAAGATAATCAGAAAAATGAAAGTAAAAAAATAACAAAAGAATAAAACATATCTAAAGGTCGAATTTTTAAAACTTAAGAAAGAAATGTAATAAAATAATGGGGAAAAGCCACAAGGGAAGATGACAGATGTCAACTTCGGTTATCATACAACCTAATGCCATCTCCAGCTGTCAGCAGCTGCCACACATACAAAGATGATCCAGAAGCCAATGCTTTTTGTTTTACCATTTCATGTAGTTTGTTCTCTCTCTGGGAGTAAAATTACACAAATCCAAAGTCCTTTAATGGAATCATTAATGATTAAGAATATTATATACCTTTTGGTACAGTTGCTGAGAATACCCTTATCACACCACTGCATGAAGTTTTTAGGGAGGAGATTCAATTTCAAGTTTTGGAAAATGGAATCACCCAGCATGGATGAACCAGCTGGAACTGATACAAGTCTTTGTGTTTTTAAGTCTTGATGTATTCAATTTTATTAGAGTTTATTAAGAAAGGGTTTTAGCACTTAGCTGATTGGCATAATTTTATTGTATTTTATATGTCCTAAAGTGATTGGGATGCTTAAGGAAATGGACTTGTAAAGGATGACAGTCAACCAAGAAAATGATTATCTTTACATATGAAAATAAGAATTTTATTTCCTTAGGTATAAAAATAGACAGGAAAAATCCTATTTCTTGCTTATTAAATATTGGGAAAGTGTCCATTTTAAGGTTTATCTCATAGCAATGTGTATTCGCTAGTTACTTTAAGAAAAGTTCTATGGTTCAAAATCAATCTAAAGAGCACTCAGTTAATACTTATGTAATTTTATATAGCTACTTTATATAATTATAAAGAACCATCAGCAGTATAAAAACACTCTTTAGTTTAACAAAATCGATATTTGTGGTGGGTCCACGACGGCATGTTGAAACAAGCTTCTGCCCTTGGCTTTTCATTTGATATCAGTTTGGGTGGGTTTTCTAAAAATGCTACTCTTTTGGGAAAAACAATATTGTTATCTTTGATAGCATATCTTGTTTTCTGACATTAACTTAGTAAGATTTCCCATGCCTCCTTCAACAAAACAGGCAAGGACAGTTAAGGGGTCTATTACCCTCCCAACCCTAAAAGCAAACAAAAAGATTTGACTCAAATAGGTATTTATACAAGGTATTGTCTACTTCATATCACAAGAGACCTGTTATTCAGCTAGTGAGGCCTGTGTTTGGGGTCACATTTTGGTTTCCAAATTTAATGTCTGAGATGCTGCAGCAGGAGAAAATTTATGCAGAGTGTAATCCTCATAAAACTTTATTTTATTGGAATTGTAGAGTACTTATCTGGGGAGGAAAAGATTAATTTACCAAAAAAAAAAAAAAAAGACAACAGCTTGGTTTTGAAGTTTTTATTGCTGTCATTTTTTTTATTTATTTTTATTTCTAGCCAAAGTTAATAGCTCTGTGCCAGAATTAAGGTTCAAGTTTGATGGTATCTCAGACAGAACGTTGCAGACCCCAAACTTAGAAGCCAGGAATAAAATTACTGAGAAATGTACTCTGAAATCTGTCAGGTACATTGATTTTAATATTATCAAAGCCTAACACAATGCCAGAACCTGTATCAAGATGAAAGGGCTTGTATCTTTGGATGAACTCTGATAAGTAACAAAGGGTGTATATTTACTTCGATGTTATTTTATGTCATCGTGGAAAAGTGTCCAAATATCAGTCAAGATCAAAAAAACAAAGATGTCCAGAAAATCTAACTACCTCTTCGCTCTGTTCATCTCGCAATTTTTTTTTTTTTCCTATTCATGAAGACATCTATGAACCGTCAATGTCTATACTCCTCTTCCAAAGCAAATCGCCAGCTGTCAAATTAGCTTAGTTAGCTATTAAAATAAGTGAGAAATTTTGCTTCTTCCTAGGGGGGTTTGCCTGGGGCTTCAGGTTTTGCAAATCTTTAAACGCAGCCTGCTAAGCCTCTCAGAATAACAAATATACTAAAACAATTTTGGGGGACTTTCATTCATCACTCTGAAGAGGTAGGTGACACCAGCCCCGCTCTCAGGGGCTCCCAAATAGTTAGGATTTGTAGTTCTGAGACCTTCAACCCCGGGCAGCAAGACAGCAAAGTGCTAAAGCTCTCTGGCCCCTCCAACTCTGAGAGTTGTCCGTTAGGTCCCCAAAGGCGGGGTCCCCCCTACTGTCCCTTCAGGAATGAAGGGTGATGCGCTGCAGGTGTGTATGTGGGGGGTCTAGTAAGTGCGGCGCTAGTGATGGGAAAGTATTCTGAGACTGAAAACTTCCTGGAGTCACTCGTGCTAAGTCTCCCGGGGCGAAAACTCGGAGCTGGACAGCGGAGGCGGGAAGCTGCACGGCTGCAGCTTGCGCTCAGGGGTTGCAGGGGCTCCGGGGCGGTAGGGGTGCCGGATGGCAAGGGGGAGCGTGCGAGGGGATGCGCGGAGCTGCGTCGTCCAGCCTCCGCCACAGAGAGAGGCGGTGGCTCCAGGTGGCCGTGACCCGCGCGTGCTCCGGGGTCGGGACGGGACCGGGCTTGGGACAGGACCGGGCTTGGCAGGACGGACTCCGGGAGTGGACGCGCTTACCTGGAGGTAGGGTCGCCCTTGGGCCACCCCGCCCACGACGATGTCTGCCGCGGCCATGGCCCCGGTGGGCGAGAAGCCGAAGCCCACGTAGCCGGCTGTGCGCACCTCGAGGCGGAAGGCGAGCCGGCTGTCCCGCGGGCCCCAGCTCAGCCAGTACTTGCCCTCCGCGTCCAGGACGGTGCGGTGCGGGAAGGTCCGGCCCGAGTCCCCCGCCGTCGCGCGGGGGAGCAGCGCCCACAGCACGAGCAGCGGCCAGCAACACATCCTCTGCGCCTCCTACCCGCAGGCACCTGGGCTCCCGCCGACTGGCGGAGCTAGGAGGAGCCACGAGGGGCGGCGGTGCAAGCGGGAGCCTGGGCCCGCCCCTGGGCCCGCCGCCTGCCGTTGGCCTTTTGTACCAACTGAAGTAAACAGGGATAAAGTGCAGATGCGCCGTGTCCCGTTGGGCCCGGGTCCTGTCTCGCTCTCGCCCTGTCCCGCCTTTCCCGCGGAGCCACCTGCCGCTCCGCTCCCGCGACTGGTCCCCAAGTTCTAGGTTCGGTGGGAAAGGAAGCGAGGGGAGTCCTGAAAGGAGAGGGAGAAGGAGGCAGAAGGCGAGCAAAGGGGATCGGAGGCAAAGAGAACAGGAGGAAGGAGAGAGCAACTGCAAGGAGGGCGTGGAGAAGTGCTGAAGAAATGGGGGCGGGGGGAGGGGGGGTCCCTGCTCCCTGTGGAACGAATGAGAGTTGATGAGAGAGAGCAAGTTTAGCCTAGCTAAGGAGAGGAGGAGTTGAGTGTGCAAAAGGAATAATT